CTCGTAATTTTGCGAAGAAAACAGACATTGATGGACACTTAATGTTGTTAAAAATCCGCCGATTCTTCTCTCGCACGAAATCGATCGCTCATACGGCAACCATTTCGTTCGAAAGCAAATTGCATACTCCTACCGTCATGCTTAGCGCGCCTAGTGCTATAAGGGGAAAGGCCTACAAATTTAGCTTGACAAATTTTTCTCAAAGCATATTGATGTACTTACAAAGCCGTAGTTTCTTGAGGTTCCTCTGCATTCCATATAATTTAAACGAATGCAACACTTTAAATGCTAGTTTTCGATTGTGAAGCTGGACCGCATACTGAATTTTGTGTTTTTCTTCGAGAGCAGATGAATATTTATATAACCAGCATTGCCAAGCCTTAAGAAAAATGTTCAAATTTACCTATTAGCAAGCAGCTCAAAAGTCCAAGGCTTACTGGGGTGCCTTCAACTTCATACGACACTAAACCATATCTGGTCGCGCAGGATGGGGAAGCATTCAAGCGCATTGTTAGCCACGAGAAAAACAGCAACATGCATGCACTAACCTTATAAAACAACGTCTGTGCCCAAAAATGTAAAGCTTGCTTTTCCATCAAATGTACTTCTTGTTTGAATTTGAGGGAATTTTTCCACTTTGAAAATGCCATTCTGTTCGGTATCGCAAAACAAAGTTAACATGATTGCATTTCGAAAATTACCGTATATTAATTATATACTTCTGAAAACATTACGATCGAGCATGACGCTTGAATAATTTCCAAACGACTAGTTATGGGTTCATCATAAAAGAAATGAGAAACGAGATCATATCTGACATCTGATTTTGAGTTTGCGGTTACATTTGCAAACCAACGTTTCACCACTATACAGTTAGTGTCTTCATCAGGACTGAGTCATCTGAAGTTGCAGTGTCACTCGAGCTCGTTAAACAGTCGAAGGACAAGATAAACATACTCCTGCGGAAGATACTAGTATCAATAGAACGGTCTGTGCCAGTACAGGTAGTGCCAATACACGGCAAAAAACGCCGAGCCCGTTGCTTAACATGACTGAACAATGTTTTGCTGCCCACGTTGTTCACACTTGTCAACAATATTGAACAATGTTGTTGAGCCTGAATCGGGTGTAACAGTATTGTTCAATATTGTTGACAGCTATGAACAATGTGGGCAGCAAAACATTGTTCAATCCTGTTTTCATCAGTATTGCATCAACCTGGGCGTTTTTTGCCGTGTAGTATAAGAAAGCTTCGGGTTGATAGGGATGCAACTACCGTAAAAATACAAGGAGAACTTCGACGTTTCGAGCGAAGCCGAAAAGCGAAGCCCTTCGTTGGGAAGCTATTTCTAGGAAGCTATATATACTGAATTCCCAAAACGTCGACTTCTCGAAACGTCGAAGTTCTCCTTGTATTTTTCACAGACAGGTATAGTTGTAACCCTATCAATCCGAAGCTTTCTTCTTAGTGTCAACTGGTCATTTTTCTTCAATGTACAATAATTATAAATGTTACCTTTTAACCACGATTTCCCCTTCTTCTCGAGCTTGAAGAAAAAACTGCTTTTTGCTTCGCCGTTTGCTAACATAATTTTTCCAACTCGCAAGGGATTTTGTGAGAAGTATACGATCAGCTGTGAATAAAATATATCTGTAAATTTTTGCTTTTAAATTTTAACAAACGTCTCAAATGAGACGTGTGTCTTCTGGATGGAGAGAAAGGCCGAATCTGAGAATATATATACAGCGTTCAATAAACAAAGCTTAATTCGACCGTATCTTTGTCGTAAAAGTAGTCGTTTCTTACCTTTCTGTTTTGCAAGATTCACTTTTGATTTCTTTATTTTCTTAAGTATTAAAAATGAACGCCAACCTCTCCAAACCTTCAACCACATACGAAACCTATGTGGAATAAGAATGGATTTTTTCCACATAACAGTAATTCACATAACGCTCGTAACAGACGAGTAAGTTTTCCTTGATATATGAGTTTTATTTGCTCGTGAGTACAGCAAAAAATTGACAAATTTTCTTTGCCAAGGAGCATTGTTCGAAAGCTAGTCATGTCAGTTTTTGGTCAAGGAAAATTTGCTCAGGTAATTACGACCTTCCGTTCATATCAGCAACAAAACTTGTCAAGAAAAACTTGTTGACTGTACACACCAGACTACTGAAACTTGTCAAGGAAAATTTGTTTGTAATGGTTTGAAATATAAAAAAACTTTGCAAACAGGTTTTGTACCGGTTGTGATAATCAGCCCTGATGTTTAGTTTCCATTCGTTTCTGCCATTCCACCAAACATCTTCCCACTGTTGAAATGATCTTTTAAGTAATTTCTGCTTGTAATGTTGCCTGTTTTGATAAGCATGGTAGAACTTTATTATCAAGATAAGGAGATAATTTGTGATGATCATGGTGGTGTGATGGTTGAAATGAAAGTGACGATGGTGGTTGTGATAACTGTGGTGATTGTAATATGGTTGCTGCAATGATGGTGCTGATGGTGGCTGTAACAATGGTGATGATGATGGTGATGGTAATAGTAATAGTGGTACTAGTTGGTAGGTGTAATGGTACCTGACTGTGGTAATGATGGTAATGGTGATGATGGTAGGTGTAATGATGCTGATTATGGTAGGTGTAATGATGTTAATAATGGTGGTTGTTATGGTGATGATAGTGATGATGGTGGTTGTGATGATGGTGACCATGGTTGATGTAAAGATGGTTGGTGTTAAGGATGATGATCATGGTGGTTATAATTATGGTGATGATGTGGTGCAATGATGTTAATGATGGTGGTCGTAAGGATGGTGGTTATGGTGGCTGAAATTATTGTCTTACTGTGGTGGCAATGATGACCAGTGGTTGAAATTATGGTGGTCGTAAGGATGGTGGTTATGTTGGTGGTAATGATGCTGATTGTAATTATTATGGTGGCGATTTTAATTTCTGAATCAAATGACTATTGAATGGTAATGCAGGTAATAAATAGAGAGGCTATGGCAATAATAATAACAGTTTGTGTCATTGATTATAATTATATGGTACCTTGCTTTTGATGGTGAAACTTTTCCAAATGTCTTTTGCTGCCATTTGTAAATATACTTTAACAAGAGAAGCCTATCACATAATATATAATGTAATATAAAGGAACATGTATTTAATTAAAAATCATGCAATAACAAACATAAAAAACAAATTAACAAGAAAATCTTAAAATAATTCCATGCTTATTGTAATTTACCAAAATTACCTAAGCTTAATATTAGCAAGTTTTTCTTTTTTCGTTACTTTTTTCAGTATTGGAAATTGATGTTGTTTACTAGGTTTTGTCTTTACATTTTTCTTTGGCATGTTTTTTGTAGATGGTTTCTTTCCTTTCGTTGTCACCTCTTGTCCTATATTGGACAAAAACAGATTAGGTTGCCAATTTTATGAATGTATGGAGCATTGCCTATTGATTGACCACATTGCAATACACTCCATTAACCACACTGCATTAAGGCCACATAAAAAAATTACTTGTTTAGCGTTCCCGCCCGACCTGATAAAAGTCCCCGACCTTCAATTTTTTTTTTAAAAAATCCATCCAAGTTTAGTGCAAAAACTCTCTATAAAAAAGACCGTTTTACTTGAAAAAATGGTATTTTATTCTTCTGGGAGCTATGTAATACGTTTACACAAAGTTTCCTTCCCAGAATATGCCTGTTCGCAGCTAAAGTGTTCGCGTGTGACCGCCAAACGGTAATTTTCTGTTTTATTAAAAACATGAACTGTATTAAAAAACATGAACAGATTTTGAAAGAATTAAAGTAAGTTTTGACTGTGGTAATATACTGGATTTCCTGCATTTAGCAGAATTTTGTGTTGCATTTTACGAAAAAAAAAAGAAAAAAAAAAAGAAAAAAAAGAAGAAAAAACCCCGCATGCCTGACCTAGAAAAATTAAAATGGGTGGACACTAAACAAGTATTTTTTTTTATGTGGCCTAATGCTGTGTTTCCTACTTTGTGATATTACTTGGGGTCTCTAAAACACCAGACATTTTTACTGGCCAATAAATTGATTTTTAGTGTTTAATTATATCTGTGATCTAAGAACATATTATAGCTGCCAACTCAACCTTGTGTTGCAATGTGAGCCAGAATATAGCCATAGTGGGCCATTCATAGGGGGCCAATGTGAAAGGTCTCAATTGCAGGTTAGTCATGCATCAAGGTTTTGGAGTTTTGGTTGGGATAAGGAACCTGGGCTAGGGTTTGAAAGATGGCTAGGTTGAGGGCTAGGTGTAAGATTTTATTGTCTATATTACAAAACTGCCAAATGCCATTTTCATGATCTCATCAGCTATATTATGAATATTCACATGGAACGTTTGTATTGTGTAACCAAGATATATCTGGCATGCAATTTTGATACTTTCTATATTTCTACTATTAAATTTTTGAAATCTCAATCTGGTGCACAATTTCCAAACTTTCCAGCCAGGCCTGTCATGTAGACCCTTTGAAAAAACAAGCCTGTGAATGTTGTGTGATCAAAGAATGAAATTATTTCGCAATAGACTGTAAAATAAACACCCATATTCTTGCACCATTCACCTTGAGCACCATCAAATTCCACATTAAATCTTGAACCAACAACATGCAAATTATTTTTGTCACTTGTGCGTTTTCCATGCTGCCCCACTCCATGTACTTTGTTATAACGTTCATTTTTCTTGTTCATACATACGCCCTGTTTATTAAGTTAATAGTAGATTAAAATGTTCTCCAAATACAGTAGGTAATTGTTTATAAATGTACAAGTCCTACATGCTCGTAAAATAAACAATAATTCTAAAATATCCGACCCCCCGGATTTTTTACACAACAAAATGTGCCGATTGTTAATATCTGCAAGACATGCAAATATTCACGTTTCCAAAAACATCTTGTAACTTGTTCAATGTAAAATATTTGTAGAAAAAAACACCAAATTGGTCAGAGAAAGTCGCGCTCAAACGAAATCGAAAATTACGTAAGAATAGAAAAATATTTGAATAAAAAATTTTAAATAAATACCAAACTCGGAATCTGTTTGTACATTTACAAACATCATGCAAGGAAATTTGCCGGGGGGTTCCCAAAATATAATTATGAACATCGAAGTTTGTGTACATGTTATGGGATTCGGTATTTTGATACCGCAAATTTCTTGAAAATTATCGTAATTAAAAGTTTATAATGGCGAGTTGTTGTGACCAGGTGAAGCATAAAAACGTGGACGGTATGTAATGATTATTTTTTTATAATAAATTTCGATCTAGCCACTTGATATTGCTTCAAAATGTTTTATAACCAATTGTCAAAATTGTCAGCCAAAGGCGTGGGATGACCTATATTAATTAATAATTTGTATATTCACTATATTGCAGATAAATATTGGGATAAAGTGTTCATGTATAAAACTAAATAGCTTCTATTATAAAACATTATTTATTTTGTATTCTCATTTAATAACTGATTTAGGATTAAAATGTAAATTTTATAACGCCCTCTGCAGAATGTATGTTGCATATTTCTATGCATATCAAATTTCTATAATTGCAATTCAGGCTACAAAGTTGGGCAATTTTGACTACAATATATTCTTATTAAAGGAAAAAAAACCCAGTGATTGTTAAACAGTTCAGGGCTGCCTTAGATCTGTGCATTTGTTATAAAAGTTTGATGCCTATAGTTATTATTTATTTATCAACATAAATATTTAATAGCTACACCAAGAATATATAATTTTGTCAATACCTATTTATTAATGGCCTAACGTGAACTGCCTAGCTGTACAAGTGTTGCAGCAGTTTGAATCGGAAATACCTGAAAACAATTTAAAACATGCACCTCAATGTGTTTACAGCTACAGTACCAGTAGCCTATAATGGTCCAGACCTTAGCAATCATTGCAATAGTTAATGGTTATTTGCATTGAAAAAGCCAATCAGCAAACTTTTGGAGACATTGGAAAAATGTTGTTCCCCTTGGTCCCACACCTTTAGTTGGCCCCTTGGCCCCACCCTTTAGTTGACTTCCTTGGCCCCACCCTTTAGTTGACCTCCTTGGCCTCACCCTTTTGTTGACCACCTTGGCCCCACTCCTTTAGTTGATGTACCCAACGTGATGTACCCCCTTGGCCCCACCCTTTAGTTATCCCCCTTGGTCCCACCTTTTAGTTGGACTCCATGACCCAACCCCTAAGTGTCCGACGCTGACCATTGTGCTATACAATTTCAGGACATGTTCACTTTGCCGAAAGTGTCGAACCACATAATCTTATCCAAGTGAAACAAGATAGTGATAGTCAGGTGCAAGTACATGTTGGATTCTTACAAACCAATCATAAATATGAAATAAAATTTGACGTTCCCAATCTTGCTGGTGGGGAAGAAATTTCTGGATGTGAAAAAGTATCAAAGGGTGTGAAATTGGAAGTCGCTAATGTTCAACCAACAGGTAAAATTCCTTAAATTCTCTACTAATTCCCACTATTTGAAATATAAGACTAGAATTTATCAATCCTTTTTCTCAGATTCATCAAATAGCAATCTACATATCATCATTCATCTATCAGCTTTCAAAGAAGGTCTTATGAAAAGTTGTTTTTCTCTGCAAAACAAAGACAAGAAAGAATTTGACATCATTGTTCATGCTCGAGTGTTGGGAAAATATAGTGGGACACCTATGGTGAAGGATGGCATTCATTGTATGGAGGTTATAAAGGATGATGTTGATTCCGCGAGTGAATTGACTTAAAATTATAAAGAGCATAATGTACTGATTCTAGACACTTATTTGTCACACTCCACTGACACTTCACACTTGTATCCGATGCACATACAAAACACTTTATGTCATATTACATGAATACCTCAAACCTTACTTTGAAATCATACTCACAAATCCATGCCAATTCCATCAATTTTGTACAATTTCAATTATGAAATAGTTTAAATAAATACAGTTGTATACAATTAATATGCTAAATATGCTATACCTTGTAAAAATTAAAATTGAATAAATAAAATATGTATAAAATAAAACAAATACTTTTATTTGCTTAATATGTTATTGGCCACAGTTACCATTTTTCAACCCCGACAATAAAAAATTGTGACTACCACCCACCTCGCGCTATTGGCCCGGGTGGAATGCTCCCCAAAAATCCCCAAATACAACCTCAGTACTGCTCCCAGAGCAATACAGGCAGCGAGAACAAGTTGAACAGACTGGGAACAGCAATAGTGAATATACCGCGTTCATCACAAGTCAGCGGTGTTCCCCATTGCAAATGAAAAATTGTAAAATCTCGTGTAAATATTTGAGTTTTTGTTTTGTTTTATTTTGTTGATTTTTCAACCTTTTCCGAGAGATTATAATGCAGCACGACGAAGTACGTATGGTTATATATCTATGTTATTTTTCAACAATTTTTAGGTCTGATGAGACATGTGAATGTCGACTTTTGTCGACGCATAATCGCGTCACAACTTTTGTTGACACCAACCACCGAGCCACGTTGGCCAGCAATAAACTTTCTGATCGTGTCTACCAAATATTACTTATGTAATTTATATTAATAGCTTATGCATAGGTATAAACAAGCAGCAATCTTTATAAACTATCTGAAATAATGAAAAATATAAAAACAACTTGGAATGTTGAAGTTCTGTTTTATATTTATCATGTAGTACTGTGGTAGTATCTCCTATAAAGATTGCTGCTAGTAGGGGCCATTCCATTTAATGTTAATGGTTGATTTCTGAGGGGGTTGAAAGCCATTTTCTGAGGGGTTGTGTGCATCGCGCGGTAAGGCAAAAATTTCTTAATTTCTGGGGGGGGGGGGGTGTTTGTGTCGCACTATAATTATCAGATCTAGTGATCAAACTAACAACAACGTTATTAAAGGCCCATGTACACCTGACTGGAAAGTTTGGAAATTGTGTGGCAGAAATTTCTTTAAAATAATAAATATGTAGAAAGCATCAAAATTGTGGATCGATATGTCTCTGCCACGTGATACAAACTTTCCACACTGGCTAATCTAAACAATATGACTAGTCATATATGATTCTTAATATCGATCTGGCATATGTACTTGATTAAAAATTAAATGTGTGTAAAGATGTCACATTTTCAAATTTCACCACAAGCTAATGAACAGGAATAGTGGCATAGTCGTTTTCACACTGATACTTGCATATGACTAGTCGTAGGGTGTGTTGGTCCACAACTAATATTTAATACCTGGTAAAAGTATAGATGATAGTGTGTCCAAACATGAATGACTTGGCATCCCTTGTTACATACAATACATTCTAATACAATATAAGTTGATATGGAATTCCACTTGTAGGTGATATGGTCAGTGATCAACCATGGGTTTTGTTCATTCAAAGTCAAGTTAGTATTATATGTAATGAAATATCCAATTTCTATCAAACAGGCAATCAGCAAGTTTATTTAGTATATATTGCAGTATTAAAGCTAAAATTATTATTTACAGTTATTATTGTTTTACTGTAGGACAGAAACAAATAATTTTTGTAGAAATAATTACAACGTCACAGGACTATGTAATAGACAGTCATGTCCACTGGCAAACAGCAGATATGCAACTATCCGGGAAGAAAAGGGTTTGTGTTAACATATAATTATTATAAGGTCTCATAAGTAGACTAATACCAATTACATTACAATGCATCCCACTCATGCATCTCTAGGGAATCAGGTGGATCGGGTCAACTAACCATTCACAGGCTGTAAATCCATAAACTGAAATATGCCTGAGGAGAACACACTGTTGATGTATGGACATTGGAATGTGCTCTCCTTATAGTTACAGCTTCTTGTTTGAATTCTTTTTATTGTCTGTTAATGTTGTAAAGTGCTATTGCAATAGGAATAAAAAATATAGAAATTGTTTTTGGTCAATTTGAATATAAATAAAATTGAGTAAGCCAGTGACAATAGGAATATACGGTACCATGGATAATTTGCATTATGCCATACTAAAACCAAGTGTAAAAATGTAATTTTTACAAAAAATATGTAATTAATGTCAAAAAATAATAGAATTTTTACCCATAGGTGTCTGTTATCTGTACATGAAGACAATTGAGCGAGCACATTCCCCAGCCAAGATGTGGGAGAAAATCAAACTAAATAAAAACTATGAGAAAGCATTGGAACAGATTGATACAAACTTAATCTATTGGCCAAACTTTAATATACACAAATGTAAACAAAGATTCACTAAAATCACACAGGTATTAGCCTTAATTAAAAATTATGTAGAGAATTGGTTGTTTCCACCAAGTACATGCCATCTAAATTGCAGAAAAAATATGTCTTTTGGGTTTTTTTAGTATCTGATAAGAATGAGGAAGCTTCAGTTGAAAACAAAGTAAGAATTTTTTCTTTTAAGTTGTGCGGTGTTTTCTTATTTAAAATGACTATATACTTGACAAATGTTCATTGGACACAATCATCAATCAGTTTTAGACATCTTCAGGATATTTTTAACATCATTTTGATAAAAGATAGTATATTATTACCTAGAGAGTAAAAGGAGGAATAACTCTATAGGTCACAGAATTTTATTGTGTGTATTTTATTTTTTTCCAACCTGGAGATTTTTAAAATTAATATGCAAGTCAAAACTTTCCTCATGGAAATAGACTGTGAACATAAGGGACCGGTCATTATTTATGGCGGGGGGTGGCACCGAAGAGAAATGTTTTCCGTGTCAAAAATTTTGCTGACCCAACCATTAAAAAGACAAAAATTTGTTTACCCAACCTAAAATATCAATTAAAAAATAACTACCCACCCCTGGCCAAAAACTTAACAAAAGGATACCATTCAGTTGTCACACATCTCCTTTATCATTTCAGTGACATGAGTTTGATAACGGCTTGTGAAATTTTCTGCAGTCTGAAGTTTCATGTTGTCTGCACATGTACTTTTTTGGAAACACAATTTGTTTTGTCAAAATGATCAAGATAGTGACTCTGATTGATTCACATATTGTATTGACAAATGACTAGCTGTTGGCATTGCTTTTCAGTCTCCAATATTTCAGTGGGTCATGCTTTGGAAATGACAATAAATTTTTATTACCCAACCCTTGAGTTGTTTTGTTTTTCAATTACCCAACCTTTTACTTACTCAAAATTTTGTTTACCCAACCTTTTTCTCTTCGGTGCCACCCCCCGCCATAAATAATGACCGGTCCCTAAAGGGCAGTACAAATGGCAACAGCCAAATAGACTAATGTTTCTATAAATATTTTTCAGACCTAAACTTGTAACAATAAACAAAAAAGTTGAAAGACGAGAGAAAAAACGCGAGGTACTTTTAAACTTAGTCTTCATTTTGGAACAATGTCATTCACGCTGACGCTAGTTCTTCCTTATCTCATAATTTTCAATGGTATGATTTGAAACTTTTTAGTCCAAAGCTTTGGTTGCAGCCCAGTTGGATAAATCTATTGAGAAAGAACTTTTGGAACGTCTCAAGAAAGGAACGGTATGAATCATTCTTGATAGCTACACGACGTATGATACTGCAGAGTGTAAAAAGTTTATTTGTAAAAAGTTTACAGTATCTCCTTTTAGTTTTAATGTGTTTATACCGATCTAAGGTAGACAGAACGTTCTAACATGCAGGTTTTACAACCCAATTAACAAATGTGTGCGAGGGAATTATGGGCAGGTTCTTCAGTGGTAGCAACCTCGTACCCAGGATCTAAGGAGAGACCCTGGGAACGAGGTTGCAGTGGTAGAAGGCTTAGCAGCAGGCGGAACTTCAAAGTACGGTAAGGAACAGCACGAACCTCATCTGCATGCATCCAAGCTCAGCAAGTATTACTATATGCAGAATTTTTTATGAATGAAGATGGAAGTTAGGAATTATAGATTGCCAGTATTTTGAAATATGCGCAAACCATGATTGAGAATGTGTGTGTCTTGTTTATGTAGTACGGTGATATATATAACTTCCCAAGTACGGCATTTGAAAAAGTCATGGATGATCGAGAATTAGAAGATGTTGAAGAGGAGGATGAGGTATGATAAACATTACCGAGAAACGGGAAAAAGGCACCCAGGCGTGGAAAAAATAATCGACCACGCTGTTAAATAGTTGCAGAAAATTTGTCAGGTTGAAAATTTGCAACTTGCATGAAAATTTGAAGGAAACCCTATAACTGACAGAGAAAACGAAAAACTTATAACTGACAGAGATCTTTCCTTGAATTTAAAACCATGATCAACTAGGACACTCTGTTTAGGCACAGGATTAGCACAAAAATTCCCCAGCCCAGGAAGAAAATTATTTTCGATTCCTGGTGCAAGTGCTGTAATATGATAATCGCGTTATTTCTCATTCGCCGTTAATCATAACGCGTCTTAATTTGAATTAAGACATGCAATCTCTAAAACGTTTTTAAATTTTTGTTAATGACATGTAACCTCTAAAACGTTTTTAAATTTTGTTAATAGGAGGAAGAGGAAATAGAAGGACAGGTAAGGAAATTTTTATTAATGAATATGTCCTTTGGGAACTTCAATTGACCATTTGCGTAATAGACTAAATTTTGATCTAAACAAGTCTAGGCAAAAATTTCATCACAGCTTGAAAGAGCATCACAAAATTAGTAATATTCCAAAGTTTCATTGCGAAATGTTGTAAATTGCGGAAACTATAGCCTTGCGAAGTTTGCAATTTTCAGTCATTTTAGATTACAAACGGGAATTTGACAGCCTCGAAGGGTTTGGGGCTGTCAATTTCCCGTTTGTAATCTAAAATGACTGAAAATTGCAAACTTCGCAAGGCTATATTTTCCGCATTTTACAACATTTCGCAACGAAACTTTGGAATGTTACTAATTTTGTGATGCTCTTTCAAGCTGTGATAAAATTTTTGTTGAGATCAAAACTTAGTCTATTACGCAAGTGGTCAATTGTGAGATTTTTACGTGTGTGGGTCTAAATTAGTCTACAGAGTACAGATCACTTACACGCTCCAATAGAAAACGCATGTGATTGCGTATCTACGCCAAGAAACGACGAAGCGACGCAAGTAAAATTCTCATGAGGTACTTGTTCCGCGCAATATGGATTATCAATAAGCAGTGAACCATTTTCATACACTTGATATGAGGAGAAAATTGTTTCAAAATTTTGAATTACACATCCTATACCATTCACTTTACGACTTGTACCATTTATTCTCACGTTCCCAAACACCCATTCAATAAGTGGTCTTGGGTAACCTAGGGTTTGGCATGGAATCCAGACGTAATCGACCAGTTCCGAAGGTATTGCAATATCGAACATGGTTGATAAAATCTTGGGAGCTAAAAAGAAGGGTACATGTGTAAAAGAATTAAATCATTTTGTGTTCTTGAAGTTTGCGTTCTTTTAATTTGCGCGCGATTAGTTAGCGATCTATACGAGTGAGAGTTTTACCCTGCTGGTTAATGGACAGCTCTATCAGTTCTAAACTGTTCTCCCTAGAGGTCCAGTATATAAGGATCATCTCTTATTGATCCAGTGTTACTACAGGAGGAAATCTAAATTAAACTAACTTTATTTATACTGGATAGTTCTATCAGTTCTAGACTGTTCTTCCTTCAGGACCAGTAAAGATCATCTCTTATTGATCCAGTGTTACTACAGGAGGAAACCTAAACTAAACTAACTTTATTTATACTAGATAGTTCTATCAGTTCTAAACTGTTCTTCCTAAAGGTCCAGTTACTACAGAAGAAAATCTTAACTATAAACTAATTTTATTTATACTGGATAGCTCTGTCAGTTGTAAACTGTTCTTCCTATATAGGTCCAGTAAGGATCATCTCTAATTGAACACTGTTACAACAGGAGGAAACCTAAACTAAACTTACTCTATTTACACTGGATAGCTCTGTCAGTTCTAAACTGTTCTTCCTAGAGGTCCAGTAAGGATCGCCTAGTGTAGTTTACTATAGGAGGAAATCTAAATTGAACTAACTCTATCAGCTCTATCAGTTCTAAATCACATACTCGAACCGACCTGACTGCGTAGCTCAGTTGGCAGAGCATTTGGGCTAGTATTCCAAAGGTCGTAGGTTCGATTCGCACCGTGGCCAGGCATATTTTTCAAGCCTGCCCGGTGTGGATATACACTCAGAGTAACATCACAAACATCATATTCACCTGAGTACACAGCACCAACACAGAAAAAATCAGTTCTAAACTGTTCTTCCTAGAAATTAAGTAAGAGTCGCCCTTTTTGGTTTAGCGTTACAATATAGGAGTAAAGTTTAAATAAACTAATCTAACTTTACCAAATGTGTGTTTCTCATTGCGGTGGTAAAAATCAAATATCAGCCATAAAGATGAAACACACGTCCACTAAGCCACGAAAGACCTCAACACTCACATACCTTTAAGAAATCTGACCAGAAAATTTTCCGCTGTGTTTCCATCAGTATTATTAGCAAAACAAACCACATCTACTCCAAAGCCACCGTCACGGCTGTTGGACATCACTTCCAAACTTCCATCGTTCGATGCAGTGAGATTTGCATTAGGAACGTTTGTGATATTAACAAGATATGTTGCTCCAGTTGGCAGGGCAACTTTACCTAACATCCACTGGATTTCTGGCTGTGGAAAACCGGTTACATCACAGCTGAATGTAGTTTTGGTTGAACCGTCATCAGGGACATCATAAATGAACTTAGTGTTGGTAATCTTTGGAGCTAGAAAACCCCCGGAAAAAACAGACTTATGAAGATAATTAGGGACTCGGCAGGTATCATATTCGCCCGGATACAGGATAAGATCCAGGCCTACTTTTGGGTTAAAAATGAGGTAACATTTATTTATTTTATTTAACAGCTTTAATTTCGCACGTAGATAACTTGACAATATTGTACATAACTTACGTAGATAATAGACCTTTCTCCTTACGAGTGAAATTTTGATCTAGATATGCCTGGACAAAAATTTCATCACAGCTTGAAAGAGCATCACAAAATTAGTAATATTCCGAAGTTTCGTTGCGAAATGTTGTAAAATGCGGATAATATAGCCTTGCGAAGATTGCAGTTTTTCAGTCATTTTGTACTACAAATGGGAAATTGATCTGAAGTTTGATCATCTGACTGATCAATTTCCCGTTTGTAATGCAAAATGACTGAAAAACGGCAAACTTTGCAAGGCTATATTATCCGCATTTTACAACATTTCGCAACGAAACTTCGGAATATTACTATTTTTGTGATGCCCTTTCGAGCTGTGATGAAATTTTTGTCCAGACTTGTCTAGATCAAAATTTCACTCAAAAGGGTCTATTACATTGAACAAGAATATGGAGAATAGTAACTATGGAAGGTGCCAAACGTGGCGAAACACAAATAGACGAGATAGTATAGAAGAGCAAGAAAAATATAGAATAGAAAAATGGAAGGTGAATGGAAAACTAGAAGCACAGAAGAGAGAAGTGGTAGAATAAATGATCTGGAAGATATTAGTTAGTCATGATCAATGAGTGTGAGCTAGGTGAGTCAGGAGTGTATAGGTAGCAGTCAGATGGATGTAAGACTTGTGTATGATTTAAAGGTGGAGGGAATGTCGCAGGAGAAATATGGTTCAAAGAATATGTTATTTGGTTTAAAGAGAACGAGTATTTATGATATTTTTACTTGAAATGATTGTACAGAAGCTGGCAATATTTTCAAGATTTTTCATGAAATTTAAACTTTTTGAGCAAGGCTTTTCCAGTCATGCATGTTTAATGTGTTGAACTGTGAAGTTCTTTCCTGTTATTTCAAGTCAATATAATATAAATAAAACACAGTCACTTTATTAATCGTGCATGATCAGGCGTGAACCTTATATAACCAATATCCGGTCGGATATTTTTCAACTATCCGGCTCTATCCTGTGCACAAAAACATAGAGCAAAGACTAGTACTGTGGTCAAGTTTTCAGACATCATTTTGATTAACCGTAGTGCGAAGAAATCACAGTGAATTACCTTTAAAGAAGACAATTTCAATTATTCTGCTGAAGTTGGTATTGTTGCTACTTGCAATACAAGTGACGTTTACTAATCCTTGAAGCGAACTGTTTCTAGAATTTGTTACAATCAAACTTGAATTCTCAGAAATATTGAAATTCGAAAGATCGTCGTTTATTGGCTCTCCAAGAGTTTTTCCAAAAATTTTCCATGTTGTGGTAGTATTAGTATTGTTCGGCAGGCATTGTATTTCTATGCGTCCACCATCTGGTATAGTATATTGCCGTTTACCATTGTTGATCGTCGCATTTTCTAGAAAAACAATAAAAGGTGAAGTGATGAATTATAAAAATATCTTTTTGCACGAAAACACGAATACAGTGGCAACATGTAAAAATCTCACAACTTGTCAACAAGGTGTGTTCACAACAAGCTTGTAACAAGCTTGTCAACAAGTTGTAACAATGTTGTTATTTCATCAGGTTGCTACAAGGTTGTCACTCGCAACTTGTTAACAAATTGTTGAATTGCAGGACGATAACAAATTGTTGGAACAACTTGTAACAGGTCTGTTAAGCTCAACAATCTTGTAGCAAGTTGTCAACAAGCTGGGAACAAGCAGTGCGAACACATCCTGTTGACAAGTTGTTGGAACCGCATTGCTACAAGTCTGCTGCAGGTTTGTTACAACTTGTGCCTTGATACGGCGAAGTTTGACATGACAACCGGTTATGGTATATGCTAATAAACCATTCGCCACTAATAGTGGGAATAAATATTAGACCAGTGCCCAGTGGGAACATGAAATAACGTCGAATCCACTTACGTGCTAAAGTTGGTACAAAATGCGTGAGTCCGATAACAAAGAGTAAAAACAGGGCATACATCTTTCAAAAATCTCTGCATGAAAAGGAAAAAACACGAATAAATGAAGGAGAAATTTCCAGAGTTTAGCGTTAATTCAGTAAATGTTCCAACGACGTTTCAACTTAGCCGAGTAAATAAAACACATGATAGTGTTGGGAAAGCATTAAGAACAGCTAACCCAATGTCGCGTGATTGCTAATTCACTCAAATTGCATTTGAAGGTAAGTTCTACAACTGTGCGAAAGCTAAGTTAGGTAACTCATACTTCAATTTTAATGTACAAATGACCTTAATAACTTTGTACAGCTAATTGTTGAACTCGAAACACAATTTTGCAGTTCTCAGTACCGTGAACGTCAATCTCATAATGTTTCGTTGGATGCAACTACCCGAAAAATATAAGGAGAATTGAAATCGACGTTTCGAGCGAAGGCCTGATCGTAACTAGGAAACGAAACATCGAGATTCTCCTTATATTTTTCAGGTAGTTGCATCTCTACCAACGAAAGCTTGTTCATTTGATTGGCACTACCTATACACTGGCAACTAGACAGTTCAATCTTATAATGTCTCTACTGTGGTAAACGTTTGTACGCGAGATTTTGACATGCATATTCAGCGATCCGAATTGGGCCCTACCAATTGAACTATTTTGAATCAACCGGCTTTATCTAACCTGTGCATATACTCTTACACTATAGTGTACAGGCATATATGAAAAATATGGTGACGTAATGGTTTCATAAGCTGTAAATTGGTTAAGTATGTGATATCTTTTTTTTTTATCACTCGCATGCACATATAAAGCGGGAAACCTGATATTGAGAAAAATAATGGACGTGATATAGTATATATGGTATTAGATAAAAGCATGCATATAGCATAGCAACATCATAATTCACCATATATATATGCATCTCAGAATTATTATGTTATTTAAATATACCTTGAAAACAACGGGCCAAGTTTAGTACGAATATAGTGTTCAATTTACCGCTCTTAGCTTTGTCTTGGTTATATCGAGGGTTGCTAAACTATTCCAGCACTGTAGTACTTCGATTCAGTATAAAACATCATCACCGTTTCGATATTCTGAAAATTTCAGACCACGTCAACACGGAAGTATCATAGCGTTGCTGCCAAAATAAACCACAAAATATTTCAGAAGCTACAATACAAAGAAAATCTAAATTCCAATCATCAATAACTCAGCATGATGTTTGCAAATTCAAGGGTGAAGACTGGCTTGACTGAGTTCTCGTCCAAACAGAAATTTAGTGGCGTTGTATGCGTTTCTCATAAGATTAGAGTATCAAAACATTTGCTTGGATATATTTTGTATATATTTGACCCTCCTATGGTAATTTGACCCTCAAAAGAGGATTAGTTTACGGAAGACGGGCTTGTTTCCTGGTGGTCTGCACAGATCGAGTGAAAGTTCCCTAGTTTGTGGTTTTGATTAAAGTGATTAGTAGGCTTCTAGCCTAGTATTATTTGTAACTATATATTATATAATTATTTGTTGGGAAATATTGTAACAAATTAATGCAACATAGCAACCAAGCAAGCACGGAACTAAATTCTTTTTTAGGAGCGACAGGAGGATTATGTCAAATTCTTTGTTTATTGACCAAGGACATCTCCAAGACGGTCAAAGTGCAAGTCAATTTAATCTTTTCTAATTGTCTGAATTCATAAGCTTCAACATCTCATCTGTATAAGCCGATTTACACTATACACAACTTTTGCCTAACTTTGTGGCCCTCTGTCGCAACTCCACATTGGAAAACTAATATTACTTGGCGTTAGAAGATGCATTATTCCATGGATCTGTGACTTTCTTTCTAATCGTCGTCAACTAGTTAAAATTGGTGGATTTCAGTCAGCATGGGGAAGTGTTAACGGAGGTGTCCCACAAGGAACTAAGCTGGGACCGATATTATTTCTTGTTATGATTAACGATCTAGAACTAAAGTCTCCACATACAAGTCACTGGAAATATGTTGACGATCTCACTCTTTCTGAATCTCTATCTATACGTGACCAATCGACATTACAATCTGACCTAGATGAAATACAACAATGGGCAGAACAGAATGACATGCGTTTGAATGTTAAGAAATGCAAGGAAATGGTGATCAGCTTTTTAAGACAAAGTCCAAACATTGTCTCCCTGCATATCAACGGGAATCCACTCAGTATCTTATCATCATTTAAAGTACTTGGTGTCACCTTTAATGACCATCTGAAGTGGAATGATAATGTCAACATTCTCGTGAAGAAAGCTTCTAAGCGCCTGTACATTTTGCGCATATTGCGAAGAAGTGGCGTTCCATCGGCTGACCTGCTGCCAGTTTTCTTTGCCCTGGTACGTTCAATCCTAGAGTACGCATGCACAGTTTGGCATACGAGCCTCCCCAATTATCTTTCAAACAAGATTGATTGTTCAGAAGCGTGCCTTGCGTGTATTACACCCAGGTCTGCATTATATCGACGCACTCCAAATCGCCTAAATCCCTCGCTTAGACACCAGGAGATACGATTTGTGTACGAAAACCTTTGAGAAGATTGCTAACCCAACAACCGACTGAACCACCTTCTGCCACCAACACGGGTGGCCGCGCACGGACGGACGTTGCGTAATAAGGACTGTTTGTCTCTGCCAAAGTGTTGTACTAATAGATACAAAAATAGTTTTATTCCAGCAATGTGCTTTGAGTTAAGGAATAAACTTCAGTGATAGTTTAATTAGTTGTATATTATATAGATTTTAGTTATATATTATATATAGATTTTAATATTTTAGATAATTTATTGAATTTATGTAAACATATCATAATTCATTGTATTAATGCCAAGATATGTGAATAAACCATTTATTTATTTATTTATTTATTTAACTCGCATGCAACCTGCTTACAACTTGAGTTGTACTGCGTAAATCAAGTGTCGTAGGTGTAAGTTGTGTGCTTGATTTACACAGTACAACTCAAGTTGTAAGCAGGTTGCATGCGACAGTTTTATAGGCAAAATTTGTGTAGCCTAATCGGCCTTATATAGGATGGGTTTTGACCATGATATAATCTTGAACGGTCTAATAATAAGAATTTAATAAGCTGCGAATTGATAGGGATACAAAAATGCACTGCAGTGCATTTTTTAAGGATTCTTCAGTGGTGGGGCAAAACTGCCAAATTCTCTCCTTGCCCTCCCCCGGGGTATTATCCAATCGCCGAAGGTGTGAGCCGAGTACCGCAGACACGAGTTAGCTAGGGGGGTCTGGGGGTATGCACCCCCCCCCCCGAAATTTTTTTCAAGTTGGGTCTCGGAAATAAATAGCATTTCCTGCATTCTGAGAATACATTTTAAAAAAGATCTCAGGTTCTCAAAACAAAGATTTAATGGCGAAATTTGTAATAAATTGCATGCTAAACATCAAACACAACATTAGTGTAAGTATAATCACCAACAAATTTTATTTTTTAGACTTATTTTCAATGTTAAACTCATTTACTCAATACAGGTCTTACGGCCCTGGCTTTGGGGCAATAGGCCGTTTTTTTCTTCAGTGGTGGGGCAGAGGAAGGGGCCCAGTGGGGCAAATGCCCCACCTTTCCATGGTATTAAAAAATGCCTACCCGAAAAATACAAGGTTTTGACCATGCGATACAACACAATTTATACATCAAAAATACATACAGAATAGCACCAACCTGTCTTCAAAACATTTGCCAGAACAAGTCCCGCTTTCTGCTCAAAAACTTTATTAAAAATTCTCTTCAATGTAAATAGTCATAATCCTATATACGTAGGCGGAACTGTCAGTTGTGTCAGTATATTGTAGTTGTAAACCACTGTAAATATCACAATCTACTCGATCGTCGAAGACTGCAGACTGGCAGTCAAAAGCTCGTCCAAATATTTTTAACCAGTGAACGTTTGAAACTCTTAATACCGTAAGTTTCCATAAAATTCTTGAGTATCTACACGCTCTACTACGACAAACGTTGAACCTACAGTAATCAATCCTATCGTGTCATGTCGTGTATGCAAACGGCATCATGCATAAAACGTTTTAAATTAAAGCGATGTTTGTGCTTCTTTATAATTCGCATTAACAGGCAACTTTGGAATGGTAAAGCTTTCAAAAGCATTCTGGCTTCTCTCCATTACGTATACATACTCATAGATATAGAGCTCGATTTATAAAGGCGTTATATAAACTTTATAATCGACTAATCGTCCATGTCGTTCAACCATTCTAGTTCAATTCTCAGCCAAAGCAAAACTACATGCCTAATCAGAATACTAAATTATATTCACATTTTCATATTCAGAGTATTTATTCTTTTGGGACAAGAATTCTTTTCTTTGCTATTGTTCACTTTAATGAATGATCAGATGGCATAAAGAACAGTGGGGTTTGATAAACAATGACAAGACAATATGGAAGCGATAATTATACAGTCTCCAAGTGCCCCTTTAATTTTTAATCATAATTATGTAGGGAGGAGGGAAGCGAAGGAAGGTAAGAAGAAGCGTACCACGTGGGGAATGGGGGGAGGTCCGGACCCCCTCCCCCACTTTTTTGAGGACTAATTTCGTATTTTTTTAAAACTGAGGGGAGACTGGGGGGCGTAACCTCGTAACTGTGTTTTCATCTATGAGATAAAATATACCAAATGTGTGGCTTTCAGTTTATCACAGACGTGTTAAAATGCATGAAATACTATAGCGTTACCCAGAGCCTAAAAATAGGCCGGACGATTAGATTCCCCACCCGTTTGGGGCAAGGGGGAAACATGAGAAGCGACCCCCAACAAATTAAAAAGAATTAAAAATCACAGCATTTTGGAATATGCTTTAAATGCCTTTAATTACTCAACATATGAATCAAATTATAATTAATTCGCTTGATTGTAATCACTTTTATGCCAGTATTCTAAAAGCTCACTCACACTCACAATCAAAGAATGGAGGTTCAATCTGAGCTTCTCTTGAGTGTCATTGCTGTTTTTGCCGGAATAGCTGGAGGGTAAGTATAGTCACATAGTAAGGTATGACACTAACCCTCCAGCAATGACAGTCGAGAGAAGCTCAGGTGTGATTGAACTTCCACTCATTGAGTGTGAGTGTGAGTGAGCTTTTAGAATACTGGCGTTAACTTCTACATTTTAACGTATTCGTGTATGTATTGTTCATTCTATATTATAGTTCCAATAATTCATCAACCATAAAACATCATTAAACAGCAACGCTGCCGCCGCCAGGACACGAGTCCATTTTCCTCCTAATGTTGTAATTCAGAGTACAGCATTTGTAGCTTCTGGAGTCGTACTGCCTCCTGCCACAGCATTTATAGGCTGATTTGATGCTATGTATCTTTCCACAACAACACATGTGGGTCGCTGGGTCGTAATCCACACCTGCGCACGGCACCACTGTTTGACAGAAAAAAGAATTCTCGAAAATCATGTTTGTGATGTTACTCTGAGTGCATGTATATCCACACCGGGCAAGCTTGAAAAATATGCCTGGCCACGGTAGGAATTGAACCTACGACCTTTGGAGGAATCAAACCTACGACCTTTGGGGCTAGTATTCCAAAGGTCGTAGGTTCGATTCCCACCGTGGCCAGGCAATAGTTTTCAAGCTTGCCCGGTGTGGATAAACACTCAGAGTAACATCACAAACATCATATTCACCTGAGTACACAACAGAAATCTCGAAAATCATTTTAAAAGCTGGTTTACTTTATCAAAGTTGCTGTGATCACAGTATATGGGAATTTTGCATAAGTAATTAAATGATGATTAATTCCAGGTATAGACGAAACTTTTGATCTAGATGAGAAGAACGAAATCCATTACCATAGCTGGAAAGAGTATCATAAAATGAGTAAAATTGCAAAGTTTGGTTGCGAATTGTTGTACAATGAAGAAAATATAGCCCTGTAAACTTCGCCAATTTTGCATATATTTGCATTACGCGCGGGAAAATAACCATTTTTGAGTCGAAAGTAATTATTTTTACCGCGCGTAATACAAATTTTAAAAGTATATACAAAATTTGTGAACTTCACAGGACTATATTTTCTTCATTTTACTGACAACATTTAGTAACCAAACTTTTACATTTTTAATTCTAAAACGCTCGTAAATGGATTTCGTTCTTCTTGCCTTGATCAAAATTTAGTCTATATAGCAGGAATCATCAGCCATCCTAAGTTCTGAAGGATTTGAAAGAATATAGCAGCTGTTCCTGGGACTTAGGTCTATAAATAAATGTATAAAATTCACACTCGGAATTTTCGCCTACAAAATCTTTCACTAATGGGTGACGCGATTGTGAGAGCACGCGCGCCTTTCACCTCAGATCTCGTGGTTTCGATTCCCATTGTAGACGTTATGATATCCATGTGAAAAGAGTCTGTCAACGCTCTACCGAAACGGTCGTGGGTTTTCTCTGGCCGGGTACTCCGGTTTCCTCCCACAGGGATGTGGACAAGGTTGGTTGGGATTAGCCCCTAAGCTGGGATTAGCCCTAAACTAACCCTTCCATCGTAGCTGTGCTCCCTGATTAGACATGAGTCGTAAAGGTGGCCGCCAGAGGCGACCTTAAGCCCGCCGAACACGAGAGCAACTTGCTGAGCTAACCGCCTCGCGAGACGGTTAACTCAGCAAGTGGCTCTCGTGTGCGGATAGTTTTCGTGAGGATTTGACCTCTCGAGGCCTTGAGGAAAATATCTATCGTGTTTGATATTTTTCACCTCGCGAGGAAAAAATCTCAGCGTCTGCGGATATTGTGAGCTAAGTGCTGAGCTGTTTGAATCAATTAGCCAATCACAAACCATAGTCTTCATGTGACATGGAACAAAATGGAGGAAAATGCAAATAATTTTGTTAATTATGTTGTTGTTGAGTAGTTTTCCCAACGTGTGCGGTGAAAATACATAGCTGAGCTAGCTGCCACTCGAGGCGGTTAGCTCAGCAAGTTGCTCTCGTTTGCGGCGGGCTTTAGAAAGTCTTCCACTCAATCAGGACGAGCTGTGTCCTTCGCATTTCAGCTAAGCTCACAGCTGCAAGTAAGGATAGTAAGCACCCCTCCCCCCCCCTACGTACAAGCCCATGCCATACCTCGCACTATGACAGTAGCAGCACACCGAACATTCATACCGCTGCTCATGCCATAATAATACCACACAACGAGATTCCCGACACCAACGCTCGCCCCAGGCTTCATATTTAACGGTTGAGTTAAGGTCCGCGTGATCTGCTGTCCGGGGCAAACTGGCTTCGGCACCACCCAGTTGACGCTCATTTTACCATTTGGACTGTCGGGCATCATGTAAATAGACTTCCTGGTATTTTGACACGAACACTCTGTAACAACATAAAAGCTGTGATGAAAACAGGTCGGACATGAGATTCAACGGTCCATAACGGTAGGTAGGTACGTAAAAATTTTATTTCCAAGTGGGAAGTGATTTAAAAACTACAAATACTTATAACAAATAATTATAAATAAAGAAAGAGTACACGCCAACAAAATACATAGAGGATATTTTACTCACTCGCGCAATGTTCTGTTTGTTATATAGTCACAAGTAAAAAATTGTGAAATTTCACGCTCAAAAGCAAATTGGAAAACGTCACGTGATCCATGATATCTTCACTAGTGAAGATACGGAAAATATCTCACTGTGTATTTTTCAGTATCTCACTGAGCTCTACTATATATAATTAAAAACTCTATTCAGGCTGATATATATTAGAGATTGTTACTATATATTAAATAGAGATCAAGTCGCTATTTCTAGCTTGTTCAAACGATCAATTTCCATATTTTTGGTTCTCTAAAACTAACACTTTTTTAAGATGTTCAGTTTTCGGAAAAGAGTAGAATCTCTCCCTCGTAAATTATAATGGTGGGCCGTAAGTATTTGAGATATTAAAAATCTCATTCTGTTTGGTCTGTGAAGTTCCTTGCTCTTAGTAAATGGTTTATTAAACTCTTTGTACAGTAGTTACAAAAGAACCAATTTGACGAGTTTATATAAGATTACACTCAGTATTATCTATACATCTAAATACTTGTGTTGGCAACAAAATATTTAACGGGTGACCATTACTTTTCATTTTGTTCATTATAGTTCGCACGTAAAATATCTCGCACCCTGATGCTGTTTCTCAAGCTTTTCCGAGGCCCTTACCTCGTGAAACCACACTTCCGATTTTGGTAAATTTGCGTGATTTATTCAAATTTCAAATGCACTACTTACTTCGAACTTGTATGTTTATGCCACAAGTCAGATCAAAGCCGCCAGCAGTCGTATACACGTAGTTTACAGTGTGGCTACCAAGCGTAAAGCTGGATCCTGATGGCTTGTTTGGTTGGATGTCTTTCAAGGTCGCACCGCAGTTCGGCACTGGTGCAACCCACTGTGCAGTGGCTGAACCTTGGTCGCTTGAAACGTAAGCAACAACAGGCGCGAGTGATGGACATGTACAAGCTAGAAAAATGCATTAATATCGCGATTATTATTGATGATTATTTGATGATTATTGATAGTTTTAGATCACAAATGTTATTGAATGCCATACTGTATGGCATGAAAATTATATGACCTTTTCAAAATTTTCAGGTTGCCAAAATGTGACAAGCTGGAAATCTCAGTTTCACCTCTATAATTTTTGCCTTATATTTCATGCAGTCTATAGCTTTATAATTTCTATTAACCTTTTAATTGGCAATGCACCCTGATGCACCCTACTTTAGTATTTTACTCTGTCTAACGCCAGACGATTTTACTCGTCAAGTGTAGACTGCTGGGGATGCAACAACCTAGGGGTTTCAACAAGTTGCTTGGCACCTTTTTGGCAACTTTTCATTTTATGAATAACTTTTGTTTTAAACGGCAATTTCTGTATAAACTCCGAGCAACTTTTCATGAATTTGAGTCAAATTCATGAAAAGGTGCCCGAAGTTACAAAAGTTGCCGTTTAGAACAAAAGTTATTCAGAAAATGAAAAGTTGCCAAAAAGGTGCCGAGCAACTTGCGGAAACCCGTCAAAACCCTACAACAACCTGAAAAATATAAGGAGAACTAGAGATTTCGACGTTTCGAGCCCTTCGTCTGGAGTTACTGGCCAGACGAAGAGCCTTCGCTCGAAACTGAATGAAATTCTCCTTTTTTTGTCAGGTTGCTGCATCCCTACCAACGAAAGCTTGTTAACCAATGCTTTCATGCTTGCTACCAATGCTTTCATGGTTGAAAAGTTACACGTACAGCTTTGCTATGCAGTTATTCAAGTATCATTCGAAGGCCTTCAGAAATTATTGGGAGCAGTGGGAGGTGGAATTGAGGGGGGTGGGGGTGTAGGGGGGATGGGTGTGGGGGCGGTTGCCCACCACTTGCGATACTCACATTTTACGGCAATCTTCACATAACATTTAAGATCAAATCCTCCTCTGAACGTGTACGTGTATTCAATATCATGATCGCCAACACCAAAGGCATGCGGGGATACGATATTAGGATTGACTGTGGTGGCCGCGAACTTTGGAACCCTGTTGTTTCTGCATTTGAGATTTGGTTGAACCCAACTGACGTCGACCGTGGATCGAGACGGTTTGATGTACACATCTTGTGACTGGATTGTTGGACAGCCACAATCACCTGTGAACGATTTGGTCATTGTGAATTTTCTGATAAAGCATGAACTGCGAGTGTTTCAAATGGCTTAAAAAACGACCCATCTTATGAGTTCATTGGCGCGAAGCAATTTTAAAAATCAACATTGTCTAAGCCGAGAAAATCAGTGATTTCCTTTGCCATTTCTTCATGAATTATTATTGATTAGGTTAGATTTTAACCCAGGATTAGCGCTGATCCGGCTTTGAACAATTGGACCCAGAATGGTAAATTATTTTCTAATTCAAACTTTACCTGGTTTGAATGGCGTGCAGGAAGCGTCGACCAATTGGTCAAGTATTTTATCCAGATCGATAAAATCGCTGTTAAACAGTGTAGCACTCGACGTCACCATTTTTAATAGCGTTTCGTTAAATTGCTTTCTAATTTTTGGTTGACCCATTGCAATTCCAACGATTAAAATGCTTCTGTTTTTCATAGAACTAAAAAGAATGATAATAATCATATGGTAATTAGTTATTTAAACTATTACGTTGCATTGGGCCTTCAATGTGTCCTACTTTATTATTTTACTCTGAGCTAGGGGCCGGGGGTAAACCGTCCTCCTCCCCACCCCTCTCAACGGCACTGGTCACACCTATTACCCTTGTCCTCACCCCGTGTGATGGAGCGCATCTTCAAGTTCACAACATTTCTTTCTGCCATTGGGTTTACCATCTGTGATGAGTAAAACGACGTCTGCAATGTTTGGTCTTGCATTCAGTGGGCTTTCCTGGGGAAATACCTAAAAACACCAAAATATTTGTAAAATAGGATTACCAAGGGGGGGGGGGGGATTCCGAGCGGAAGGTCATGCACAAATTTCAGACCACACAACTATAGGCCATCTGGCAGGAATCGAGCCTGCGGCCCTACCCCTTTGTTATGGTTTAAGATTTCAAGATCTTTTTAAAAAAGTTTAAAAAAGAAAAAAGTTCAGAAAAAGTTAGATTTTCAAAAAAGTTTAAAAAGTTTAAAAAGTTCGGGTTAGGGTTAGTGGTTGGGGTTAGGGTTAGTGTTAGGGGTTAGATGCCGCGAATTTATCATAATGATAAATTCGGACGTGTTTAAGAATTTACTCGTATAGTAAATTCAAAGGTGGAGCTCATGCTGCAATATTATTATTCTACAACGTACACGACTCGCTTGTATGTTGCCCCTAAGTTGGAAATAAAAATCGGACACCGTCAATTGATCGATGGGAAATATCGTTTAAAATCATCGTGCCAAATTTCATGACGGTCAAACTCAAAATGAAGGAGCCTTAAGCTTTGGCCTAAAAAAAATACCTGTGGTTCCGGTTTCATATCGTGAAAAAATTAGGGTTGGTAGGTCGGAAATAATTTTTTTTCGAATAGTTTTTTATGGTTTTGGCGGTTTTTTGCTGGGCGATTTGCAGTAGAGTCCCGACATCAATATTAACTAGAGATGCATATTTCCTGTGGACGAATTTAAGCAATTTAGTTCAATAATTAGTGTGACAACAAACGCCATTTTGGCCACGCTGTGTGAGCAGCCCGCAACCACCCGGAGAAAATAGAGTCGCACAGTCAATCGCGTTGAAAAAATAATAGGGTCGGCATAAATAAAATAGGGTCGGTCGGGAACCGGAACCACAGGTATTTTTTTAGGTCCTTTTTTCGAAGAGCGTCGCCCCTTAACGGTCCGTCTCTTGTACACCGATGTACACCGATCATTTTCAGAGATGACTTTAAACCTTTTTATAAGCCTACCTTTGTATCAGCGATGGTAGCGCCAACACCAGTCATCGTTCTGTCTCCTGAGACCTTACTCCAGGTCAAATCGTTTTTAATGTAATCCACATAGTCCTTCACCATAGTATGTGTACCAAAACCAAATCTCAGTTGCGTATTAACTTTATTGCTGAACGTAGCTAATGCCAGCTGAGTTCCGTGCGGGCCAACATTGAGCTTCGAGCTCTTTACCAGTTTTGTTAAGAATGGTTTTACGTCATTATCAAAATGATTTCCACCGATGGAGTAAGATGTGTCCAAGAGAATCAAGATGTCTTTTTTACACGCGTCTGTTTTTGAACAGTAAAACACGTTAATTACGGTACATTGTCTGTTGCTCAGGGTTTCTTCTAAGCACTATCGAGTGGCAGGTTGAGTCAACAGACAGTTATCAGAGGGAGAAACTCTAGCGCCTGCCCAGTGAGCCAAGCTGACCCGGAAACTCAGGTGAGTGCGATTCGCATGCCCTTTGGTAACGCATATACATTCAATTTTTGTTCATATGAGAAACGAGCCACTCTCGTTTCACATGCAAGTATGTGAAATCATCAATCAGACAAGTGCATATTACCAGGGACGAAACTTGGGGGGGGGGGTGACACCTCCTCCCCCCCCCCCAAAGTACAAATCATCTGGATTGGCAGTGCAAATCATCTGGGTTGGCAGGGCAATGAAAGATTTTAAATGATAGAATGTAGAGTTATTAAGTAGCTTCCAGGGCTTCCAGAGGGAATTGAATAGAATTTATAGACCTAACTTTTACAGATATTGGTAAAAAATAAGGGTTTCATGCATGTTTCAACAGGAATTTGTACGAAAATTTTTTTTATTTTTTTACCCTTAATTTAATTGGTTTATGTGCGGAAAAATTTTTTTCGACCTCCCCCCTCCCTCCCCCGCTCGCCAACATTTTTGGGAGAAATAGAGGCCAAAAAAATCTTTTTGCTGCAGGGCATCATCGGCTTTCGCAGGGCAATTCTAGCAGACACCCCCCAATTAAAAGGGGCTAATTTCGCCCCTGCATATTACAGCTCGAAACAAGATATGAAAACATTATGAAAAGTTTCCAAATATGACAAGGGGAAAAATTTCATCAAAATCAAAGAGGAAAAAATTGATTTTAGTCACCTGGTGTGCCAGGGGTCTGTGGTGTTACAGGCGCAGGTCCACCTACAGCGCGAGGCCATTCTTCCAACTCTGTGGGATAAAAAATAAGAATGAGTTTTTGCATAATTAGCGGGTTTCCGTTCAGTGATTTTTATTCTCACTTACTGAGTTGAAAATTATATAAAACATGCAACTGTTAATTAATCAACCAACCGTCGCTTGACTGATATGCAATGCAAAAGTTGCTTAAAAACAATTCGTTTCCGCACGATTGACTCGCTTTAAATTAAAAAATATAATCTCTTAAGTTACCTTTCTTTATTTTGCTTCGCACAGAAGATAAGATATGCTAATACAAAAATTATTTAATTATAGTTTTATTGTGGCTATATAAATGAAACACGAACAGTGATTCAACATTTCAATACTCACAGAACCCACCCACTGTGTGTAAAAATGATTTATATTCTCTAAAGATGATTCTGTTTAATAAACTAAGCGATGTACATTGAATAGAAATGTTTACAGTAAAAAAAACAAAATGAAATTAATCAAGTATCGTACATTTAATTCAAAGAAGGCGTAAAATAAGAGAATCTTAGATGCATTTGAAGGACGTCAGGTTTGAGATGTCTTTTTCAGGTAGTTCAGACACAACTGACCACGACAGCTTATTGTAGAACACTACCTATATACACTGGACCACTACGTTTGAGATATCTTTTTTAGGTATAGTTCACTAGACACAAACCACGACAGCTTATTGTAGATATATAGTATACCTACATTGGACCTCTATGTTTTAGATGTGAAATGAAACATTTACAGATTAATCCCTGACACCAACCTTCAAAATCTCGAGGAGAGAATCCCAAGGCAACAGAAACCAAATTTAGAACAAAAAACACTCGCAACGCGCAGAACATTTTGGCCGAAACGAAGCTTTCAGACTTGTATTCTAGCGAAGATCTTGCTTGTATGCCAGTCAAACACTGAATGAGTATGACCGTTACAGATTTGCACATTTAAGTCGGCTATAATCGTTATGTAAATTTTAACTCAACCATGACTAATATTTAGTTTATTACAAAAGCAGGAATTAAGATGTATTGCTTAATTGCTGAAGCGAAACTGCTTTGTAACGAAGACTGCGTGGTTACAGTTAATTCACAGAATTGAACAAAGAATTAGGAATCATTTATGGTTGCGAATTTAAAGCATATTTAAAGCACCAAAATACTCAAAACTGATCAACTTTGATACAATGTCAATGCATGAATTTTGTCAAACTAGTAACTTCTAATGTGTGAAGGCACAGTAGAAATTCCTCGCTACGCATGACAACGATTCAATACCGTTACATACAATGATACATTGAAACAAAATGTAAATTTGCATTAAGCCGCATGGATTGTTAATTGAGTTCCCCTACTGTGTTTAAATCTGGTTGTCTCCAAGCCTAAAGTTCATGCTGTGTTAAGTAAACCTTGACGAGACAAGAGACATAATATAGGTAGGGCAATTTGTTTATGAATTCCAAACTGCTTATGCTGATCTCTCTCTATATAGACATAGGGTTCAAGAAAGGCATGCCTTCTGATCTAGTGTTACTACAGGAAAAAACCTAAACTGAACTAAGGTTATTTATACTGGATATAATTCCATCAACTCTAAATCGTTTTCCTCAGAGTTCCATAAAAGACCTTTCCATCGCTTCAATTCAATGTTAATGGAGGAAAGATTAACTATACTAACTTATTTATACTTGATGGCTTCCTCAAGGTCCAGTGGCAGAATCTACAGGACGGTATCTGAACTAAACTAACTTTGAATAGCTTTATCATTTCAAAACTCAATTTCTAAACTGTCTCACTTTTGAGGTTCAGTGTAGGGCTATCATCTATAGAGTTACTACAAGAGAAATACGAAGAGCCATGAGAAAACCTGTTTCAAATAATAATTAATTAATAGGCCTTAATTTGAAGCTGAGCACCATTTCGAATGCTTTGATCCTTGACATGCATGGGAGCGAACAGCTGCTAATTAACTATATGGCTAAACTAAAGAACTTGTAGTTTAAATTAAATTCAAATACACTGGTCATTAATCAATTGCGTGCAAACATTTGTTCTATTACTTATGAAACTTAATTAATTTTCATCAACCGTTGGGTACTAGACAATGGCAGAATTTGTATAGGAATGACGCACAGGTAGCCGGGTAATATTCCAACACTAATTTGCACCTTATTAAATTATCGTCATTTCATCAGCTGCACGATTATGATCACATATGATATTGAATAAAAATTACCATTTTACTGGCCGTGCAATGCTTTAAACGGCACGCGTTTGCACGCTTTAGGTTTCAATCGTATATCGTTGTCGTTGCTGCTCCTTTAATTCCTAACTCCACAATGAGGCTGATGAAATTTAATGCAGTGTTTCGTTTTTGAATTATCCCCATTATTTTCTAAACATCCCCATTTTCGTGGGAATTTGAATGATTGCAATGTACAAACTGTGTATTTGACTTTAAATTAGCGCATGTATCCGCACTTGCTAACAAACTGAACAGGCAAAATCTTATCTATTAGTTTTATATAATAAAATAAAACACCGAATTAAACAGGTAAATAGTTTACTTTTTATCCACCCATTTGGAAATTTGAAAAAGTCGAAATGTTACAAATATCACGCGTACATGATACGAATAAGGGGATGCTATTGGATAAGGTTTTGCGTGACGTAATTCCGTGCCTCTGTCCTCATCATGGTCTCGACCAATGAAAGCGCTTGAATTCTTAACGTTATCATATAGTAACCATTTGTTCACAATTAATAGTCTATTTTTCGTGGTAATAACCTATTAAAAATTAAGTGACTTTTACGACATGGGAACCGACATGTGTTTGGGCCTAATTTTTGTTTATTTTCACAAAGAAAAATACTCCAATTATCCCCACGTGTGCATGTATGAACAACTGAACAGATTGTATATCCACCGCGGATATTGATTTTTGAACCGTTGTAAAAATGCGTATATCAAAGCTAGAAAGCCTCATGGTTTTCCATATATGGCCGTAACGGTCAAGATTGAGTCACGATCTTTCTCATCAACCGAAATACAACATTTTAGAACTGAAAATACGCGGAGTGATTATAACTAGAGAATACTTAAGATTTATATGTGGTGTACAGGTATAAACTATTATAAACTGGCCGTTGAGAAAGATCGCGACTCTATTTTTACGACAATTATGAGACTGAGAAACGAAGGCTTCAAAGAAAATTTTTATGGCACAAGTAAATATATGTCTGGGGCGGTTATACGATTTTTCAAGATTCCTAAAATAATCCACCTATTGATATAAACCAATTTAAACTTTAGTATTCATGAATTTAAACTTGCTTTTTATCAATTGTGAGTTCCATAATATATCTGTACGTTTAAAAGCCTGGTTTCCATATGGTACCTAGCTTTGGTCTACAACCATATGGTACACCCTTCCGAAAAATAGTAAAGACTCTGACTTATCAGTAAATAAATCAATTGAAATGAAGTTTTCATTTATATGTATATCCAGAGCACAACAACACACAACACAACAGTACTTCAATGCTTCATTCTTTATTCAAATATTCTAGAACCCAAACTAAATCACAATTTTCCTACAAAGTGATACACAATCACTTAAAATACTAGAGTCCCGTAATCATTTTCCTTTATTCGGTCCAAGTATTAATAACATTCAGCACTGGCGTCTTCTCCATGGCCGCAATTGTGCGATGCCCAACCGCTGCTGGGGCAACTCCATAGGTAGGCCTCCGATCCATTGCACCCCACGTCATCCAGGAGAATAGGCCCCCGCCCTTGACCATAACGTGCTCCTTGAGGGGCGGCCCTTGCCCCACTGTACCCCAACTGACGACAAACGACATTTGCATCTCGCAGCCCCCAGCTGTCATCACAGACCGTTCCCCAGCCATACGACGGATGGTAGATCTCGACTCGTCCTTTGTATCTATAACCAGAGCCGACCAGTCTCACATTTGTGACGGAATGACCTGAATTAAGAATGTAAAGCCATCATTCGTACACGAGCTGAACTTATTAAAGAGTTTGAGCAAGGGAATGAATTACGACATAATACGATATAATGAATTACGACATTAAGCATAATTCCAGATCAGTGAACTCAATGTTTTTAACATTCAAAATGTTAAAAACATTGAGATCACTGATTTTGAATTATGCTTAATTGATTTTCCTACTAGTTTTTCAATGGACGCTTTCTGAAAAAAGGCATCAATTTCCCGTGCGTAATACAAAATGAGTGAAAAACGTCAAACTTCGCAGGGCTATATTATCCGCATTTTACAACATTTCGCAACGAAACTTCGGAATATTAATAATTTTGTGATGTTCTTTCAAGCTGTGATGAAATGTTTGTCTAGACTTGTCTAGATCAAAATTTTGTTCATTAGGTAATAGGTCCATTAAAATGGTTGCAATGCGCCTTAAAAGCCATCATTCAAAAGGCTGACTGCACCTTTAAGAAATCTACTCACATGTTGGTACCGGATTGCTCCATGTCCCGTCAGCTTTGCATTGAGTCGAGGAATGTCCGCTTATAACATGGCCTCGAGCGCAAGTGTAATGTACCACAGATTTATACTTTAACGAAGTTCCGCGTCTGTAACCATTTGGCGGTGTTCCTGGATCCCTGCAGTCCGCTGTATGAGAATTAACGTTGTAAGATTAGAATAGACCCTTTGAAGGTTTAAGTCTATTGCAGTCCTGTGACAATTTGTCAACATGCTTGGAGCAGCTTGATATCAGCGTGTTGAAATAATGTGCAACAATTAAGTGTGGTTAAAGCTTGTAACAATTTGTCAGCAGCAAGGCCGGATTTTGGTGGAAATAGTTGGGAGGTGGGAAAAAATTTAGGAGAGGTGCAGCGGTCTAGCTCACGACCCCCATGGGAAATTGGGACTTAGAACGGGCCAAAGTCAACGACGTGATGTATGCATGTAGTGTACATATGTATCAGTGTATTAATGAATTATGACTGTACAACTCATCCAATTTTGCCCTTCATTACAATTACTACAAAGTTTCTTTCAAAACATTGCATTAAAAGGGTACTTGACACAGAGATGATTGGCTATCACTGTTTCAATTTTACAGGAAAATCTTCTTACGAAGTGTGGACCTTAAGCAACCAAAAAATGTCAAATTTTCACTTTGATCTATCATTTGAAACTTTCCCAAGGGGAGGTGCATGACTTTAACTTGTCAACAAGATGTGAACAAGCATTTAGACAACACACAACCTGGTATCTGGTTGTTAAAACAACAGTGTAGCAAGTCTAATTGTAAGCTGTAGCAACGTGTCGACTGGTTCGGAACAAGCAGTGAGAATCCAAGTTGATATAGAAGGACTCAAACGTGTAATAAATTAGACATTTTTCTGTACGTACGATAGCAAATCAAGCCGTTCCCGGTGTAGCCACTTTTACAAGTGCAAGAAAAAGAACCAACATTGTTTATACAATCAGCATGTTCATGACAATTGTGGAGACTGTTTGTGCATTCATTGAGATCTGAAATAGACACAAGAATACATAATAAAAATACTTTTTAAGGTTAAACATTGTTGGAGTTGCACCCAAGGCTTCTGATTGTAATTTAGAATATCAATTAATAATCCTTTGATTAATTATTATTGACCAATTATAAAGTAATTAATAAGAGAACCTGAGCATTTTTCTCCACTCCCTGTGTAACCAGTTATACATTGACAGGTGTAAGACCCAGGAGTGTTGACGCATCTTGCTAGTTTAGCGTGACATTTTAGTTTTTTACTTTTATCAGCACACTCGTCGAAATCTAAGAGTAAAATATGGTAATGATTAGATTATGAGATAGCTTGTGGTTGCTGCTGTTGTTGCTGTTGTTGTTGCTGTTGTTGCTGTTATTGTTGCTATTGTTGTAGTTGCTGCTGTTGTTGTTGCTATTGTTGTAGTCGCTGCTGTTGTAGTCGCTGCTGTTGTTGTTGCTATTGTTGTTGTTGCTGTTGTTGTTGTTGCTGTTGTTGCTGTTATTGTTGCTATTGTTGTAGTTGCTGCTGTTGTTGTTGCTATTGTTGTAGTTGCTGCTGTTGTTGTTGCTATTGTTGTTGTTGTTGTTGTTGTTGTTGCTATTGTTGTTGTTGTTGTTGTTGTTTTGTTGTTGCTGCTGCTGTTGCTGCTGCTGTTGCTGCTGCTGTTGTTGCTGTTGTTTTTTGTGGTCGTTGTTGTTGTATGTTGTTTTTGTTGTTGTCGTTCCCGTTGCTGTTGTTGTCGTTGTTGCTATTGTTGTTGTTGTTGTTGCTGCTGTTGTTGCTGCTATTTTTGTGGTCGTTGTCGTTGTCGTTGTTGTTGTCGTTTTTGTTGTCGTCGTTCCCGTTGTTGTTGTCGTTAAAACAACATTACCTGTGCATGTTTTGCCATTCCCAGAGTAGCCACGCTGACATCGGCAAGAGTAAGACCCCGGTATGTTGACACATACGCCTCCTATCTGAGCACACGTGTACTTCCCGTGAGAGCACTCGTTGAAATCTGAAAAAAATTCCAAATGAATGCATTTTCATCAGTGCAAATCATAAACCGTGAAAGCAAGTTATTCGGTGATTCTTAGAGGCACTCTCCAAAGGCACATTATCAAAGACTACAACAAACAGTCAACCTAACTTATCACAATGAACAATGTAACCTGATTTGCACGTGAAATTCCTGCAGTCCGCACAATCTGACACAACCCAATGATATCCGTTGTTCCGTCCTCCGCTCTCCGCACAATCTTCAGAAGCGCTACTCGGTGGCTTGCTAATTCCATTCTCCCAATTTGTGTATGTAACAGGCTGACTGTTCGTCCACAAATAAGACCCTTCGTTAGCTCGGTCATTCAGTCCAATCCACGATGGTCTGCCATGATGTAAGTGCTGGACAAACACGTCTTCTTCTGCGTTCCCAATTCCGACAAGTGTTCCGCCATTATTCAGACAAGTTCTTGACGCATTACTCCACGACTGACAAGAGGTTATTCTTCCGTAACAGAAACCGTTGAAGTAACTTTGCCCTTCTGGGCATATGCCTAGAATAAGAATACAAAGGCTCTAGTATTGTAATTTCCTGGCTTCAAGGAATTTTAACCTATTTATGTCCATGTAAAATTAACTAGCATTAGAAAACGTAAAGTATGGCTTATTAATAGGTCAATTTTAATAAATAGAAGTTATATAAGAAAATGTCATGAAAAACTTTAAGCGATTAAGGCGATTTATTTGTCTGGGAGTAAGCTTTTTCTCATCAAAGATAAAGTCCATGGTAGACAAGGTTTTATGGCATCTCAAAAAATCTCTAGGAAATCGTTAGGTTACCAACGGGAGTCTGAAGTACTTATACCCTGGCTGACAACCCCATAATCAGATGAGTATCAAGTAATTTTCTAACATAATGCTCACCAATATTAAGAGCATGCATCAGTCCATCGTCAACACACCAGAACCGGCTAAGCCCAGAGTGAGCCAGGCCTCAGTTAAGATATGACACAGTACAATATTTAGGAAAATGAGGGTAAGAATATCTTTAGGGATTAATATACCTCGTAGAACGACATGAGTGACTGTCACTGCATCATAACCTCTGCTGGTGTGCAGTTCCTTGAAACATACTTTGAATTCTGACGTTGATATGTCCTAAAATTAGAAAGTATAAACTAAACTTAACCATGGAGTAAAAAACCCCCCTATTTTGTGTGTTTCTATTGAATAGCTCTATCACCTCTAAACTGTTCTCTCTAATTATAAAGGTCCAGTAAGGGTCGTTCCATATTAATACAGTGTTACTACAGGAGGAAACCTTAACTAAACTATCTCTATTTTACTGGATAGCTCTATCACAGTTCTAAACTGTTCTTTCAAGAGGTCCAGTAAGCGGCATTCCATATTAGAGACCTTAAGATTGACGTTTACGGCAAACGTCAAACCGCTAGCGAGGTTTTTGATTTTACAACTCTATTATTATTGCTTTTACACCAGTTTTGAAATATGTTAAACTTATTAAACTTGTGCTCTTTAGCAATGATTTAAGAAAGCAAATTAACCACTAGTCATGCCATTCACCAAAGCAGTAAATTAAGATTTGGCGTTTGAAGTTGGCGTTTGGCGTATAAATTTCATGCTTTAACGACTACAAGCCCTCGTAGCAGTTCCAGCATGAAATTTATACGCCAAACGTCAACTTCAAACGCCAAATCTTAATTTATTGCTTTGGTGAATGGCATGACTAGTGGTTAATTTGCTTTCTTAAATCATTGCTAAAGATCACAAGTTTAATAAGTTTAACATATTTCAAAACTGGTGTAAAAGCTATAATAATAGAGTTGTAAAATCAAAAACTTCGCTAGCGGTTTGACGTTTGCCGTAAACGTCAATCTTAAGGTCTCTATTGATTCAGTGTTACTACAGGAGGAAACCTAAAATAAACAATTTCTATTATACTAGATAGCTCTATTAGTTTTGAATTGTTCTCCCTTTTTGGGGCATCGCTTATAGACACTTTCCAAAGTTACCAAATTTTCTTCTACATGGATAAAAAAAATAAACCTGACCTCAACCCAGGCTGCAATACTATTGTGTTGTGGATCAATATTGCCACCAGAAGAACTGTGTTTGGGCATCACCAAGATTGTCGGGGGACTTGGGTAGTTCCCAGTCAACGCTACGTCCTGAAATGATACAAAATATTTGAGAGCTTCATAAAATCTCGAATATGGGGGTCTCCACCGCAGGTAGAATCTTAAAGTAAGCCGTAAAAACACTTTGACGTTTCTGACGAGTACTTGTTATGAAATCAGTCATGCCAAATGGTGGCAGTGTTTTTGGTGTTTTACAGGTAGTTCAGACACAATACAAGTGTTTCTTTCAAGTGTCATGTTGTATGTCAGTATAATTTACGCTAAATTTCAATCTTTAGATCCAAAGAATGTTCTTGATTCTGTACGTTCTCTTACCCGACATTGAGCATAGTTGTTGCTTTCCAAAGGATGTGATGTTGAACGATCAAAAGCAGTTTTACCAAGTTCAGTAAACACTGGAAACTCAAGTCCTTCAAATGCCATCCAGTTCTGAAAAAAGTTCGTGAAAGTTAATAATTATCACTTGGTAGACATCCAGCAAAAAAGGTCATCCCTTACTGGTGCACTGTTACTGGATAGCCTTACAAGTTCCAAACCGTTCTCTCCAGAGGTCCAGTAAGATAATCTCTTAGTTTATTGCTCCAGTGTTACTACTACATGCAGGAGGAACTCTAAACTACTACCTTTATTTGTACAACCACTGACATGACATTTCGCACTACATCATTCTAACAACCTATGGTTAAAGTAATTTAAAATTGGGGAAAAACGAAAGCTTACAACTGAAATATCTTGATGAGGTCCATCAAAATTTTGCAACTCCCTCAAACACACTTTAAATGAAGTTCGTCCGACGTCTTCCAACCACACCGAGGCTGCGTCATGTTTCAAACTCTTTCTGTGATGTTCTGCCGTCACCAGTACGGTTGGTATGGTCGAGAATCTTGCCTGGGATTATATCGAGAGAAATAACGAGAGAGATATGTTCAATTTTATTTCTATCTTAAACGCACGTAAAAGTCTCGCATCTTGTCGACAAAATGCATGTTTTCGCTACATTCTCGTAGCGAGCTTGTCAACAAGTTATAACAATGATAATATTGCTATTTTAGTCAAGTTATTACTGACAACTTGTTGACAAGTCGTTGACTTCAGGACGATAACAGGCTATTCGAACAGCTTGTAACAAGTCTGTTGAATCAACAACCTTGTAGCAAGTTGCCAACAAGCCGTTCGCAACTTGTCAACAAGCTGGGAACAAGCAGTGCGAATACATCCTGATAACAAGTTGTTGCAACATACCGCAGACACAGCAACTGTTTGGCATTTGGTTCCAGTCCACCAATATGGAATTGACACCTTCCCTGCCAGACCTTCGCTTGGTGCCCCCTGATAAGCCATCCACTCCAGAGTCGCCTCTCCATGTGGGGGTCCCTCGTTTCTCCCCGACTCCATGACGCAGAACGAGAATCCATTAACATTCACATTTTCTACCCATGCCACCGCGGCGTCATGCACTCGGTCGGACTGGTTCACGTGACTGACGCTAACTTGCACGTGGACAACTTTGTCGGGGTAGAATGTCAGAGGCTCGAATCGAACACTTTGACAATGTGACTCTGACCATTCGGGAACTTCCTTCACTTGAATACGACCTCTTCTCAAAGGAAAACCTAAAAAAGGGCACATCAGGGCTAAATGCAACTTTACAGGTTAACTACGCACGTAAAAATCTCACAACAAGATGTGTTCGCAACAGACTTGTAGTAAAATGTTTGAAA